TTCATTGCCAGGCGTCAGGGACAAACTCCCTTTGATCTTCCCCACTGCTCCATGCCTCAGGCGCCTCCTGGTAGCCAACCAGCCTCTCTAGTCCCTGCTCTGTGTCTGAACACAGGGTCCTCCACATCTTCCATATCAGACTCATAGGATTCCTCGCCATTGGAGTCCATTGGCAGCTCCAACGGCTCCTGCTGGGCCACAACAGGAACCCATGAGAAATTGCTAGCATCCATCATTCTGGATGCGGAAATAAGAACTCTCACTGGACTCTTTCTCAGACAAGCAGAGATGGAAAAGGTAGAACAGCCCGAAAAAGGGAAATGCCCAGATACTTTGCCCAATATCAGAACAGAAATATCCAGGCAACAGCAAAAGGTATATGATAACCTCTAACAAAGTTGTGGGTTTCTTGTTTTTTTTAACCTAAGACATAACTGAAGAATAATGTGAAAATGGTATTTTGGAATATTTGAAACAATATAATGAAAAACAGTCCAGAATATTTCTACATGTAGAAAAATCCTTTGTCTATTGGAACTTAGCAAAACCCACAACCAGTGTTTTGGTTTGCACTTGGAAGACAATTTATGCATGCACATCCAAGAAGAGCTACAGTTTATTTGGATTAGTAATCAAATGGTCCTTGTATTATATTTTGGACAACTATAGGCAGTCCTCAATTTATTACAGTTCATATAGTGATTATTCAAAGTTATAGAAGCACTGAAAACCATGACTCAAATGGTGCAAAACACACTTAATAATTGTCTCGCTTAGCAACAGAAATTTGGGGCTCAATTGCAACATACACCAAGGACTATTTGGATTTGTCTTGAAGCTCTTTTCACAATTCCTTTATTGATATGGTTTCTCCCATGTGTGGGTACTTCTAAGGTGAGTAAAAGTGCTACAGCTTAAAAAACTCAACACTATTTTTCTCCCATATGGATCCTTTTATGGGATGTGAGATCACAACATGTGACTCCACATGTCACACATTTATAAGGTTCTTCTCCTATGTGGATCCTCTTGTGGGAATTAAGATCATAAATACGAGTAAAGATCTTTCAACACTTCATCCATTTATTAGTTCTTTCTGTGTGGATCCTCTTGTGGAAATTAAGACTACTGCTACAAGTAAAGGTCTTTCCACACTCCATGCATTTATAAGGTCTTTCTCCTGTGTGATCCATTTGATGGGTTAAAAAAGAACGATTATAGCAGAAGGTCTTTCCACACTCCATGCATTGATACGGTTTCTCTCCTGTGTGGATCCGCTTGTGAGTATTAAGATTACCACTGTTCCTAAAATACTTTCCACACTCCATGCATTGATACGGTTTCTCTCCTGTGTGGATCCTCTTGTGAGTATTAAGATTACCACTCTTCCTAAAACTCTTTCCACACTCCATGCATTTATATGGCTTCTCTCCTTTGTGGATCAAATTGTGGGAATTAAGNTTGATGGTATTAATGGTTTATATGGGTTGCTGCCAGCATCCTAGGTATCAACCAAGGATCTTCTTTAAATATATGATGTTTCAAGTAGTGCAGTTTTTTGCAGTTCCACTGGTGTTATTGCAGGAAGCTGCAATTTCTTTATGTGTTGCATAAAATCCCTGAACATGGTGCCAAGTAACCCAATTAAAATGGGTATCACTGTTATATGTTTCATTCAGAGCTGTGGTTTCGATGGCCAGGTCGCGATATTTCATGATTTTTTCCTAGTTCTTTTTCTTTGACTCAGGCATCTCCTGGTACAGCAATATCAATTAAATTGTATGTTTCTGTTTTCGACAACTGTGATATCTCGCGTGTTCTGTTCCAAACTATTGTTGTTGTTGTTATTTACTCTAGACAGAAATTATACACAATGCTCCTTCTTACTATTCCCTTCCCCCCAACAGCCCTGTGAAGTAGATTGGGCTGAGAGTTGGGATAGGCTCAAGGCTTTCATGCCAAAGGTTGGACTACTAGAATTTAATCTATTGGTTTCAACCTAGTGTTTTCATCACTGAACCAAATAGCTCTTGATGTCTAACTATAATTTTATTTAATTTAATAGACAGTTTAATATCATTTCTATGGCTGCACAATTAAGAACAACATTTGCACAATCCAAAGCATAAAAACCCCAGGTCACAAGTAGCAAGTGACACGAGGGGCTCTCTATATCCACTTCATCAGTAAATAAATAAACAATGGATTGCAACACCCAGGATTTACAAAGGCCAGTATTGACAAAAACATTGGCCTAATCGGGGACGTAGTGGCAATGATGCATCTTCCTTCTTTACTTGCTGGCGGGGAAAGGCGGGAAAGTAGGAAACTGCCCAGGAATCAGGACTGACTTGGAGGTACAAATCTCTGTTTTGCAAAGACGACCTCTCCTCTTCTCCCAGGGAGAGGTTTTCCCATTGAAATGGCTCCCTCCTTTCTGACGCTGTTTTTTTTTCTCTCTAGCGCCAACTGGGAGGATCCGAAGCTTTGCTTTCTTCCTGCCTGGCCCGCGCATGCACAGGGACGACAGGGGAACATGGAATCAGGGGCTCCCCCCCTTCCCATATCTCCAAATCCGATGAAGTTTTGCATGTCTCCAATGTGAGCCTCCAGGCGGGAGAAAAGCCCCATCACTGAACCACGAATCACGTCTGGATCTCGAACCATGAAAACCTCCCTGCAGCCCCTTCCTTTGCTAGAAAGACTCACCCAAAGACTCATAGCGAACGGGGGGGGGGCAGGAGCAGACTCGGACACCGTAGAAAGAGCGGACAACCTTTCAAACCTTTGCTGGAAAATGCCTCGGAAGCAATCATCCCCCTTGACTTGGGAAAAAGACCGCGCATGCTCAGTTCTCTTTTAAGGCGGGAAGGAGCTGCCCGGTTCTTCCAGGGAGCCCCCTAGAGGATCCTATGCGCGTTGCCAGAAGCCCCTGCAAGGGCGCAGGACGTCATGTTCCATGCGTTTCTGGGACGATGGGCATTAGGCTAGATTAAGGAAAGATTCCCTCTGACATTGTCTATCTAGATTCTAGAAAGGACGTGGCATCTCCAGCAAGTATCAGTTTAAACATTTTCCTCTAAGAACCACCTGTGATCTTGGGAAGATTGAGAATTGCCTCCCACAAATCTTTCCATAAGTTTCATGTATTTTTAATTTTTAGTTAGAACAAAATGAAATTTAATAATGTCTCATAAATAACCATACCAGTGGATAT